CAAGCATTATAAAAATAAGAGGGTTCACCATTCTGATTAACTCTGCTCTTTCTCCTGTGTATTGCATGGTTGTCTGAAGAAGAAAAGCCTCAGGTGTATGAAATGGTGCATCACTGCTTGCATTAAGGCTTTTTGCCTTAAGGATAAATATACTTCATGAACAATATTGATGTTCAGTTTCTAAACATCAGCATAGGGCTTCACCATTGATCGAGTCATAGAGGAAGGAACAGTGTAACATGATAAAAGAATGAAGTTAAAAAATGCAAAATTATATCATGAACTCCAAAAACATTGACTAGATTGGTCATATTTCTTCTTGCCCTTATTTTTGAAAAGACAAGAAGCATTTACAATGCCAATTGGGGCCAGAATTTCCATTCCTAAGCAGCGTAGTTGTAAAGCACCATTGCATTGCTTGGTGACAGCAATCCCTACACTCCTGGTTGCTGTTGTCAGTTGAATTTCATAATCATTAGGTGAGGCAACTTCCTACCAGCTTCTCACAACCAAATCGGTGAGAAAGCTGACAGAAAGTTGTAGGACCCAGGTACTTGCAAGCAGGATGGCAGGGAAGGTAAGTGGCTGCTGCCAGGTGCAAAAAGACCCAAAGATGCCAGAGAGTTGCCGTGAGGGTCAGGGAAGGTATGCAGGTGGCAGGGAAGTGCAGCAAGGATCCGGGAGTGTGAATCCAGAGGGGCTAGGAGGGGTGCATGAATATGGGAGCTTTACTCCTGTGACTTGACCTTCCCTACCAGCTTCCCCATTGACTTTCTGGGGAAATTGGTGGGAAAGGTCACAAATGGTGATCACGTGATCATGGGCAGTGCAATCAGTTGTAACTGCAAGCCTGTTGCCAAGCACCCATATTACGATCACATGTCCACAGGGATGCTGGGACACTGGAACTCAAAGCCCAGTTATAACCAGCAACATCATTACTTTGAATGATTGCTAAATGAATGGTCGTAAATGGAGGACTACCTGTAATTTAATAATAGCTAAAAATATGTACTGTTACCTCATTGCTGCAATCAATTGTATTTCCTGCCTTTTAAAAATATATTTTAATGCTGTATGGGTACGTGAGGATTGTGGAAAGGTGCTTTTAACTCACTGACCTTCAACTTCTGCTTTCTTTTCTTCACTAGGAGTTGCCTTTGAGCAGGGCAAAATCCTTCCTACTCCGGAGACTGTACCTTTTAGGCTAACAAGAGACATAGTTGATGGCATGGGTGTTGCTGGTGTTGAGGGGGTCTTCAGGAGGTATAATTACTCCTTTCAAAGCATTTTAGCATTATGTGTGCTGCCAGGATATTCAGTTTTTACAGTTTGGGAAATTGAGTTGGTAAAAACTGTTTTCATTTTTAAAAATGTGGCCCATGTGAGCTGATTGTAAACTTTATTACTTCCTAGAAAAAAACACATTGTAAGGTTTTCTATAAAAGTTAAAATAGAAACTGGTTTTGACATTAAAATCTGTTTGGAAATCATTTAGATGCTGTGAAAAAACTATGAATGTTATGAGAAATTCTCAAGAAGCCCTGCTAACAATTGTAGAAGTAAGTGTTTCTTGGCTAAATATAACATTGAAAGTAATTCTTATATTAAATATACTTTGGTGTGTTGGACTACTATACTCCATAATTAACATTTTGCATCCCAAAAGACAACTTAGTTGGTAAGTAGGTTAAAAATTCTGATTCCTCTCCTATCTCAGTGAATATTGAAATGGAAGCAATATAATACAAATAGTGCATTATTGCTGAAACATGTTAATGTCATTCTGAATTCATGTTCCAATAAAGCAGACTTATAGCACAAGAAATATTAGACTGACATTCAATCATTTTAACACCAAGTGAAAGAATAAAGCAGTAGACCAATCTAGGAAGGCATTCAGAAAGCTCTTCATGTTGAATTGCTTTGGACCTGATGATACAAAGATATGGCAAACAGCAGCATAGGTACAGACTCCAGAAAACAGATAATAGTTTACTATGAATCATGTTGGAACTTTGAATTAAGTACTAAGAGGGTCTATCCATCCATCCATCTAAATTGCTATATAATGGATAACTATAAAGGCTCTTGAAGGGATATAAGAACATAAGTAATGGCTGCTGGATCGGGCCTCTGCCCATCTAGTCCAGCAGTCTGTTCTCAACATTAGCCACCCAATTACACAACGAAGCCTACTAGTCACCCAGCAAATGACCTTCAGAGGCTGCCATCAAAACTGACAGCCCTCGATCACCATGACTTTCATAAATTGGTCCAATCGTTTTTTAAAGCCAGCCATGCTGGTAGCCAGCACCACATCTCATGGTAGCAACTTCTCAAATTGAATTACTACATATTGTGTAGTAACATACTTATCAAGTGTTGGTTTGGGAAGGAGCTGCAGTCTTCTTTCCAGACCCCAGTTGCTGTATTCCCAAAATAAAAAATTCATATACTTTACAGCCATAAAATCCTTCAATGAGCATTCTTCCTGTCAGTCAACAAAATAAGAGCTAATAACACTTGGGATTGCAGATTGAGGCAACCTTATCGCTAGTTATTTGATTTGGTTATTTGATGGAACCAGAGTTCAATAGTTGAATTTATGGATTGAACAATTCTAAATTTTGGCTTAGAATGCCAATAATAAAATTATGCTACACAGATAAAACTTAATATATTTCTGTAAGAGATGGGCAGTGGAAGTATCTTTTTAGAGACATTATTGTGCCTCCTTTGATATTTAGGTGCTTCTATATGATCCTCTTTTTGACTGGACTATGAATCCTTTGAAAGCTTTATATCTGCAGCAAAGGTCAGAAGATGAAGCTGATGTCAGCTCCAACTTCAGTAGTGCTGATCAAGGATGTAACAAAAAAGCAAAGTAAGGACAAATATTATTATTTTGCACGTTTTGTATTTATGAATTAGTATCTGTATGCCCCCTAAAACTTTTGTTTCCTTCTCAGTGGTGAAAACCAGCTGTTCAATAAAGTGGCAGAGCGTGTTTTGATACGACTTCAGGAGAAACTTAAAGGAATGGAAGAAGGTACAGTGCTCAGTGTTGCCGGCCAGGTGAACTTCCTCATACAGCAAGCCATGGACCCCAAAAATCTTAGTCGCCTCTTCCCAGGGTGGAAACCATGGGTATAAAAATATACTATAAGGAAATCAGACATGATTTCCAGAAGCGGTTACAAACATTTTCATGGTTCCTAAGGAAAGTAGAATTTAAAAATATTACATGGAAAATGTTGAATCAAAAAGCATTACTGTATTGCACTTATTCCAGTGTGATGAAAGCAACATCAGAGTTGTACTGTAAGCCCTGTCCCTTTTTTATATATATCTTTAAAATTAAAATGAAAGCAGTAAAATCCTGTGGACGTCCCAGAAGGATTAGTCTTTTGCTTGCATTGGTATAACAAGGAACATGGCTTCCTGGTCTTAACCCCCAGACACGAATTTCAGGAAATTAACAATATTACAATTTGCTTTAACAAAGGGGAAATATTTTTCAGTAAGCCCCACTCCTTGTTTGGTTTAAGAATGCTACTGCAGCACAGTAGTTCTTGTTTCTGCTGCGTTTAAAATGATCAAACTGACATCAAGCCTGTTAGTGCAATATGGTCCCCTTGCCTTTCTCCTAGACAAGACGAGAATGTACTCAAGATAAAAACGTGCATCTATGCATGTTAATGATGATGCTGTGCATCCTGCTATATAAATATTTAGGAATTTCTGATTTATAATATATATAAAGTTGTAGTTTTTTTAAAAAAAAAAACCTGATAACAGGAAATTGTGTGTGTGTGTGTGTATATGTATATATGTACCGTGTGCGGTTCTGAAGACATTTCAAAAGAAAAATAGGAATTCACAATAACACATACAATCAGAAATAATTGCACAGCACTACATTACTTTTCATTATTACTAAAGAGTGCATTGGCTTTGGTTTGATAGACCAACTGGCATAATCTATCCTACTTTATGCTGTAATAAGGGGGGAGGGAAATTCCCCCCCCCCCTTTTTTTTCTTTTTACAATGAATGTGAATATAGATTTCTTACAAACAAAATAATTCCAGTAAAGGTTTTAGTTTATACTACCAGTAGCAAGACATTCCTATGTCCACTATGTTGTTCTATATCATGGAAAATATAACCTTATTTTACATTTCATTATCAATTAAATTTAGTTCAGTATTAAGCTAATCCTTTTTGTTATAACTTGTATGTGCACTTTGGAACCTGGAAAAAGTTACTGAAGGAACTTTGTGAATTAAAATATATTGTAAACACTGTTGTGGGCACATGCTTTTTTTTTTGAGAAACAAAGTAGTATTCAGGTGGAACTATTTTTTTATTTGCTTTTCATTAGACTATTATTTGTATATTGATATGCTTTGAAATGCAGAGGTCCGAAAAAGTGCCTTTTCAAATGTACAAAAAAGCCAAATTCTTTTGAACATGCATTTCTCTTTCATATCTATTTATTATAGTCCATTTTGCATAAAGCCATAGTGAGCTATAAAAAAATGAAAGAATGTTGTCACCTTTAAATTAGTATGTGGGAAATTCATATTGTAGCTGACAGGTTGGCAAAGCTAATATTTCAGCAGAGACACGCTTGAATGCTCAAAATTTTTCTGCTGCTGATTTTTTTATTACCATATTTTTCAGACCATAAGATGCATCTAAGTTTAGAGGAGGAAAACAAGAAAAAATAGTTTCTTGCTTCCGCGTGTCCCGTTTTGCCCTCCCCAGCATCCAGAAGTTCTAGCATTACTCTGGAACGCCTCAAGCAATTTCAACCAAACTTGGTACACAGATGACTCACCCTCTGGAAACAAATACTGTGGGGGTAAGAAACCCCTAAAACTCCTCAGGGGTGTGTGTGTGTGCCTTAAAATGGTTTCTGCTGTACAGCACAGTGGATTTGCCATGGTAACGGCTTCACAGTACTCCACAAGGGGGCTCCCTCTTGTGGAGGAATAGAAGAATTGCGATGCTGCGCAAGACACAGTACAACAGTGTGAGTCCCAACTACAGGATTTTCATGTCTAATACAGGATTGGGATAAATAAATACCTGGGCAACACCGGGTAATCGGCTAGTGCTTTATATTTTGAAACATTTCTATGAAGAGCAAACGTCTTTATAACTTTCACGGTTGCATAGGTAACTGTCTCAATTGTAAGGCAAACAAAAATACAATACATACATTCATACATATGTGCAATAGAGTACATTTTTTGAGAATCCATAGGAGTTTTTTTTGCCAGAGAAGGTTACCTGATCAAGATATGGTCAAGAAATGAACTCAGGCTAGAACAAGACTTTCTACCACATAGTCCATATGTTTTTATATTCACCTACTTACCTACTTCTAATGTCTGCCAGCACCTCCTTTAAACTCAAAATTTTGACAATCCCTTTTCCACTCCTCTATGAATGAGAAAATGTTCATTCACTTTGGAAGCCCCTGACCGTTTAACTAACATTCCAACTATGATTGCTCTGGTAATGGCTAAACACAGAAATACGTGGTTGCTCAGGTTGTTTATAGATTGATGCCAAACCTCAGTAGGGACCTTCTCCTGTCATCACTACCTGAACAATAATATGTGATTGGGTCATTTCCATATCTTTGCTTACTTATATGTAATACCTTAAGTTTGTCAGAATCAAAATAATTAATGATTAAAAATAAAATTGAAGAATTAAGAAATACTACTGATTCTATTACAACAGACATGTCATCTATCACAAAATAAGTTCATTAGGAAACTAAATTTAATTTCAAATTTCTTTACATTCATTACATTTTATGTTAACGTGTTAAGGCACATTAACTTGACAAATGCATAGATTCCATCTTTTCATACGGAGTTTCTATTTTTGTCTCCTGAAGTTTTATGTTGATACTGTTATGACTGATGAATGTTCAGTTGTCAGACGTGTGATTTTTTTTTGCTTCTGCAACTATTAAAGTGAGTTGATAATAGGTCTCTCTTTTAGTCTATACTGAGATTGCATTAGTTCTTGGATGTTCTTTGGTATCAATTCAGAAACGTAGTATTGCTGAGTAAACTGGAAAGCTAAAGATACAAATGAAGAATATTTATACAATAAAACCAAATGTTTTATAAAAGCACAAATATATTTTTAAACCATTTACAATGGAAAACTGAATTCAAGGTATTTATTCATAGATAATATTGCATGATAGCAACACAAAATGTAACTCCTGGATTCTTAGAAGATACGCCCAATTCAAATTTACTGAATTTAGATTTATCCTTGAATTATTAAATAATGTTGAATAAGCATAATCTTTTTAAAGTTTATTTTCTACAATAGCATGCAAAATGGCACATTTGCATCTGCAATATTATATATTTATCCTCTTTCAAATTGTATTCTATGTCTATTTTTAGGGATGAGGTTTGAGACCACAAGCATTTCTTGAACTTCTGGAGAAAAGATGGCATAACAGACAAATTCAGCACATAGTGAAATATATATAATCTTGTAACAGGTCATATTCTTGCAAATCTTAATTCTTACCAAATTGACTTCAGATATTTGATTAGGCCTAGAGACTTGCTTCTCTAAAAATACTGAAAACTAAGACTTAAATATTAATATCATTTTTCTGCATTTATAAAATCCACATTTATTTTAGAACCTCTTAAAGGAATATATTTAAAATGTCCACATGGCAAGTCCCTCAAAAGAAATTATAACTAAGATCCAAATCACTTGTTTTCATCCACTTTTACAGAATACTAATTAGTTATGCCATAAATTTTGTTTAATTAACTGAATTAATTAAAATTTTAATCAACCAAAGATTTGCCTTCATAACCTTATACACCTAATTCTACAGAGAGGCATAGGAATTATGCATCTGTGTGGGATTATACCACCAGCTGCCATCACCACATGTTACATCTCATGTGCTACAGGAGTCTTCAATTATCCATGTAGTTGACAATTCAATGCTTTATCTTTAGATTAAAATTACATAAAGAATAAATCAGCAAATGTTTTACCTTGAAAACTTTCTGAAGTCTTGCTTGTTCCAACTTCTTTCCATAGTTTAACATATCTAGGTAAACAACAAGCACAGTGAATAAAATGGAGCAGTAATAGCCAAATTGCAATCCATGCTTTATAGCAGGGTGTCAAACTCACAGCCCATGAGCTGGATGCATCACATGCTGGCCATGCTCACCCCCGTTTTAGAGAAGGGGAAAAAAGTTGTGATACGTCATGTGATGACGTGTCATCGCGAGTTTGAAATCCCTAGTTTAAAGTGATATATACACATATTCCTAGCATCTCACTCCATCTCTAACACACATTTTTTAAATCTCCCAACTCAGTGGTTACAATGTTACACTAAAAATTACAGTAACAATTAAAACCATCCAAATCGCAATAACAAAAGCAAGGTGAAACAAGAACAAAAGGTGCGCAAGGGGTGTTATAGAAAAGCTTTTATTAATTTCCTATATTACTGCTTCTCTCTCTCTCCCTCTCATATATATATTGTGATTTGATGGTGTCTATTTGTGGGATTTTTGGTGTCTGTGTGGGAGAAAGACCGAAGAGAGTGGGTATGAGTTAATAAATTAGATTAACTTATTAATATAAATTGCCAGTAGAGCTCAAAAGCTAAAAATTAATAATTTTAAAACAATTAGATTTAGAAAAGTAATGAAAGGTGAACTTTAAAACCATTACTCGTCATAATTCAATGCATTTGTCCACTTTAACATCTCATCTACTTCCCATTCCATCACTTGATCTATTCCTTCCTTCTCCAGGGACTTGATTAGACCTTCGGTTGCTCTCTGAATTAAAGCAATTGCCTCAGGATTCTCTGTTTTAACTTGAAGATTTTCTCCAAAGTACCTAGAAAATAGAAATATGTATTTTCATTCATAATAGTTACAACATTTTCATTGAGCATTATTATTATAATCAAATTTATTTGCCACCCATCTCTCACTCTGAGGCAACTATATGTCCTCTTCCCTTTCAAGGTAAGCAACATTATTCAAAGGGCAGAAAAGGAGGAAGAAACAAAAAATGAATAGAATTACTTTGATAGATTAATAGAAATTAATAGAGTAGGTTTGGTCTATAGAGCCAGTGGTTAAGGTTGGAAAGCAGGAGACCATGAGTTCAAGATTTGCCTTAGCCATGAAAAGCAGCTGGGTGACCTTGGGCCAGTCACTCTCTCTCCGCCCAACTTACCTCACTGGGTTGTTGCTGTAAGGAAAATAACAGGAGCAAGGTGCGTCTTCACTGCTTTTGAGTTTTTCTCAAAAATAATAAGGGCAGGAATTAAGCAAGCAAATAAATAAAAATAGGGAATTAAAAGCCTGAGGTAGAAAAAGAAAATGCAGCTAAATCTAGTTTACATCAACACAATCAGTATACTTTCCCAAAGATTTCTGTTCCTACAAACCATCCTTAGATGGTTTGCAGCATCAACAACCATATACAGCTTCACTGCCTTTTAAGCCTCACTTCCTTGTTTGGAGGGAATATCATAAACTCCATCCAACAGTCACCTTCTAAATCTCCCTCTGCTCACTTGCTCTTCCTTTATATCTTTTTCATATTGAACCTCATTACCTTTTTCATACTAGTCATTCATTTTTATATTCAATCAACATTTAGTCTATACCCATTCATCCTTGATCTAGCCAACATTTATTACCATCTGCCCAAAGGAGCATATAGTCATTTTCACCTTTTTCAAAAAATATTGATTCCTTGCAACAAATTGTGCTGCCGAATTCTTTTCGATTGCCATTAGCATTTCTTGAAATTTCTACACTTTCTCCTCTATGGTAATTTTTTGCCATTTATGAATAATTTTAATCCATTTTTGCCTTGAAGCACAAGTCTCTTCACTACAGTAAACTTCATATATTTACTACATTATACAACTCAACATTTATTGCAAATTGTTTGGGGTTTAGCCAACAATACAGCTTCATCTGCCTAGAAAAATATACATTTCCAAATGAAACATCTCTAACATCACATCAAACAGTGCAAAGACATAAAATAACCAAGGGTACATTATGCATGATTGCCTTACTCCTTATTCAATATTAAAACTATTTCCTAATCTTCCTGTTTATTCCCACATGTGCTTTCCTTCCCTCATATATTGTTCTTACTGCATTTGATAGTAATTTTCAAATCCCCATTTGTGCAAAACAAGGCTATTCATGTTTTATTTAACTCAACAAAAATGTAATAGATGTATCACATTCATATTGTTTTCAAAAACCTACCAAAGAGCAAAGCAGTCTTCTGTACTTCCCTTGCTAAACATAAAACTTCCCATACTTTGCCCATTGTTATTCCTCACATCCTTTTGATCAAAATTCTTCCAAATACCTTCACTGACACATTATAAACTAATCCCCTTCGAGTTTTTGTATTCTGGTGTTTTCCTTTGTAGAGGGAACAATAACCTTTTCACAGTGACCAGGCACAGGTGCAATCTACACACATACCTTACAAGTTGCACAACGGTTTGGTAAGAAAATCAAACATATTTAACATGGCATAACATATGCCATGGAGAGCACTGTTTCACAAACTTCACAACTTTAAACATGGCTGTGTGTGTGTATATATATGTGTGTGTAATTCTGGGAATTGAACTCCACCAATCATAAATTGCCAAGTAAAGTCAATGGAAAGACAGCAGGAAATCACAAGTAGCGGTAATGCGAGGTCCTCACTTAATGACCCATGTGATCCTTGCTAAAATGATGGTAACCAGGACTACCGAACTGGCAGCTTTAAGTGGCACAAACACAAGGTTTTTCTATTTATGACAGTGTTGCTTAACAACTAAATTTTCAGTCCCAATTACCATTGTTAAGCTAAACTGTACAGATAATCCTTGAATTATAACCACAACCGAGACCAGAATTTCTATTGTTAAGCAAGGTTTAAGTAAATTGCACACAATTTCACCACCTTTTTTGCCATGGTTGTTAGTTGCAGTTGACATTGACTTTGCAGTTGTCATTGACTTTGCTTGTCAGAAGCCCTCTGGGAAAGTCTCAAATGGCGACCCCATGACCCCTAGGACACTGCAACGGGGACACGGCAATTGTCATAAATACATGCAAATCGGTAAACACCCAAATTTTGACTATGTGACTGTGGGATGCAGTGAGAGTTGCAAGAGGACCACTTGTAAGTCGCTTTTTCCAGGGTTGTTGTAACTTTGAACCATCACTAAATAACAAAGTTGAACACTACCTGTACAATGTATTCATATAGCAATATAATTTTAATTTTTTTGAAATCTTGTTAATAATAACACATTCAAGTGTAGCTTTCCAACACATGGCTAATCAGCCTTGAAGAATTTAGTCTTTGCAAATTGATTAATGTTTTGATACATACTTGTTAGCAATTAATTCATTTATACAATACAATTCCTAGACAGTACAATGCAAGGCAAAAAGTGAAAGACACACGTAGCATTTAAACTTCCACAACAACAATATCTATGATATATTCTGAGACTCATTCAATTAAAAAAATGATTCTGAAAAAAAAAACACCATATTAAATTATCAGGACTGATTTTGACAAGAAATTCAAATGGTTGCCTAGGGAAGCATGATTTTTAAGAACAACTACTGCACAAAGCACAGTGTGATAGATGGACTACAACTTTCTCTGCCATTAAAAAAAGCCTGTGGCATGTTCCAGTAAATGTAACATGGAACACAAACTCATTCTCTGGTTTCTTCTCTACCAAAGTTTATTGCCTATTTCTGATTCTAAATCAGATCTCTGGCAGAAACTCTGTGTTCATTGTTCACTGCCAGAATCACTATTTGGTAGATTGTAGAGTTGTAATTGCAGAAATGTTCCAATCTCGGATGGCAAACCTCAGATAAAGAATGTTTCCAAGCAAATACAACTCAGGTAAACAAAGTCACTAATCTAAAGGAGGATTAGAAAGAGGAAGTAAACATATGTTAGACTTTAACTAGAGATAATTAATTACTGTGCTAAACAGTAACGAAAGTAAAGCAGTAACCAAAGTTAACCAGTGATGGAGGATAACTAAAAATGTGTATAAATGCAAGACTAGACTCCAATAAAGATCATCATGATTCAGTTGTTCATGATCCAACAACTCGACTGCCTCGTCATTACAACAGTAGATTCTCTGTGTGCTCCTTTATAAATTAGACAGAAACCTGTGATCTTCAGGTGATACTGAACTTTATAATTCCTGAGAACTGGAGCAGCAACTGACAAGATAATATCTCAAAAGCCACAAAATTTTGATGCCACCTGGCCTTAATCTCTTAGGACTAATAATAATCTTGTTCACCTGTTGTTAAAGAACTGGTGCTTTAAGTTAGAAATACCCACGGCTACTCACAAAATACACACTTGGAAATATGTAATGACTTCAGGCTCTCAGGAAGGCAATTTCAATTTTAACAACTCCACCCAAATTGTTTATTTGTGTATTAGAATTAATTTAGCCAGTTGACTGACAATCAAGGTATCTAAAGAACACCCACAAAGCACTGGAGGGCACTGTTGTATAAGAAGAGGTCTCCTTACGAAAGACCATACCAATGTGGAAAGCAGCTTCCAATGGAGCTGATTCACACCTGCACTGTTTTATTGTTCTATTTAGACATAAATAAACAAACACACAAACACCTGGAGAGCTACTTTATTGGACTAACCTAATCTTTCCCGTTTTGTTTTTTTTTTATTTCAAAAAATTAAAACTCATTTAAAATTTTTAACTGACAACTTTTTAAATTATCACAGAACATATCATATACGGTCTGGTTAGTTACCGTGGAAATACAGTAGCTTAAATATTTTATGCCTCCTCCAGTGTGTTAGGATTACAGGTAGTCCTCAATTTACAAACCCAATCAGGACTGAAATCTTGGTTGATGAACAAAATAGGTTGTTAAGCAAGACGCTCAAGTGACTGCGTCACTCAATGACTGCAAGCCCAGCATTCCTGGTTGTGGTCATTAAATGATCTCCTGGGTTGTTAAATGGAGCAAAAGAACTGCCCGCTGAATTCAACTCCCCTGGAAAGAAACTATTCCAGTGAGCTGCAGGAATGGAGCTTGGGGACTTCAGAATCTGACCTCTGTTTTCTGCACCCCGCCAAATAAATTTGGCTCCCCTTAATGTGCCGAAAGGAACTGTAGCTCTAGCAGGTTGTAGAAACAGAGCTCTCATCTTCAGGATTGGAGCTCCTTTTCTCTACCCCACCAAAGGAGTTCAATTCTCCTTGGTAGGCAGCTATTTCAGCCAGCTCCCAGAGGCAGGACAGAATCCTCTCAGCAGGCAACAGCAACTTGTAACCTTCCCTGTTGGCTTCCCCACTGACTTTCTGGGGAAGCCAGCTGAGAAGATTGTGAAGGGTCATCACGGGACACCTGGCAACCAGTCATAAATTTTTGCCAAGCACCCAGAATGCTATCATGTAACCATGGAAATGGGGGAGGGGGCCACGTGATGTTTTACAATGGCTTTAGGGGGGTAAAATACTCCTTTGAGAGGCTATTGCAACTTCGAACAGTCATTAAATGTCTAGCCGTAAGTTGAGGACTGCTCATATAACTTTTGCTAGTTTGACTGAATTTGAATCAGTGATAACTTCAGCCTATCAGGTTGGCATTAAGTAGAGGAAGTTTAACTTGGAAGAACGGTTTGCCTTAGTTCTGTTGCCCTGTCTTTTAGATCACAGTTTTTTGTTTTTTTTGAACTTCTGCAAAAACCTGATGGATTTCAATGAGGGCTAAGGGGGAAAAATACAAACACCACCAATATTCTGTCTCTAGAGCTTTGCCTCTTGATCAGGGATTACAGATTTTTTTTTTTTAACTAACAGGTTTTCTGGCCTGAAAAGTTTTACATTCCCCAGTCTAGATGAATGCAGCCAATAGAATTGGGCAGAAATGGTTAACTTGTGATTTATGGCAAGCTATTTTCAGCTGATGAATAGCTGTAGCTTAATAATGATGGATTACCATTATATTAGCATAATATGGCTGAATGAATGATAATTAAAAACCACTAAGCTGATAATAAATTGAAAATTGACCATTCTCGCGTTCAGAATTTTAAGTTGCTGTAACTCACATTTTCTTCAGCCATTCAATTTTTCTTGTCTTTCTTCTTTTTTCCATGTTCCGTTTCCTCTGCCGAGGAGAATGATGGAATTCCTGTATTTTGGTATTGTCTTTCGTTGTTAAAGAGTCCACACCCTTCCAGTACTGAAATATATTGTTGAAAACCATTTCACATTTATCAGATTTTTTAAAATTATTTGTCAAGGCTAAATACCTTTAGGACAACTGCTGTTCTGACCCAGCTTCCCCCTCTCTACCAATATGCTCTGGGTTTTTTAGGGCTCAACTTGTTGATGCTTGCAGAGACAGAGAAAATCTGGAGCTTGGCAATGGCTGAATAGTCTGCTATGTTAAAAAGGCAGGCTGCTAAATAGACATTGATATTCCCCCTTCCAATTCTACATTGTGCTTCTTACTAGGTTGGCAACTCTTAACACTGCTGTGAAATGGGCATTACACAAATAAAAGGAAGTATATTAAAGGTAAAGGGATCCCCTTTTCAGTTGTGTCTGACTCTAGGGGACGATACTCATCCCTGTTTCTTAGTCAAGGGAGCCAGTGTTATCCAAAGACATTTCCGTGGTCATGTGGCCAGCACGACTATAAGCCGAGGTGCACAGAACGCTGTTACCTTCCCACCAAAGTGCTACCTTACTTGCATTGGCATGCTTTCGAACTGCGAGGTGGCCAGGAGCTGGAGCGAGTAACAGGAGCTCACCCCATTCCAAGGCACTTGGGTCTCAAACCTGGGCTGTCAGTTTTCCAGCTGACAAGCTCGTTGTCTTTCACTGCTGAGCCATTTATACTAAGGTTTAACCAGATGCTGTAGTTGGTTGGAATTTAGTTGGAATTTTTAGAAATGTTGACAAAATTTGCTTATAAACTAAAAGTGGTAGCCTTTGGGGATTCACCTACCCTATGGAGTTGCATTTTATTTAACTTTTTAGCTTAATATGCAAAAGCGACCCCAAATGAAGAGAAAAAAAGGAGAAGGCAATGGTAGCTAATTATATTTCCTTTCAGAATCACCTGAAGCAAAATTGTAGGAAGTGACAAGAACTTTTCTGTTTCGCATCAGAATTCTCTGATATCAATCTTCTACAAATACCACTACATTCTGAGTTGACAGCATAATACAGCCTTTTTGTACGAGTAGTCCTCAACTCACAACCACAACTGAGCCCAAAATTTCCATGGTTAAGTGAGTTTTGCCCCATTTTTTAATCTTTCTTGTCAATGTTGTTAAGTGAATCACTGCAGTTGTTAAATTAGTAACATGGTTGTTAAATGAATCTGGCTTTCCCATTGACTTTGCTTATCAGGAGATTGCAAAAGATAAATCACATGACCCCGAGACACTAGAACCACTAGCAACACATGCCAGTTGCCAAGCGTCTGAATTTTGATCACATGACTCTGGGGATGCTGCAACAGTTGTTAAGTGTGAAAAATGGCCATAACTCACTTATTTTGAGCAAACTTGTAACTTCAAACAGTCACTAAACTGATAGTTGTAACTCAAGGACTATCTTTAATGCTATATACTTAGTAAGATTAACCTGTAATGCTGTATACTTAACAAGGTTAACCAAGCAATAGGTTGATTTGTAAATTAAAAGCAAACTCAACTTTTAAAGTAAAATGCCTGACGTTAACCTGTATCATTTCAGAAGACATGTGAGGCAAAAAAAGAGTTGAGAGAAAACATTGAGAAGGCAGAAACAGAAAAAGAATGGATAGGAGGGGTTGAGATGCAACTGGTTGAATTAGACCAAACAATTCTGAAGTAGAACTGGAGCAGGGATTGATGGAATAGCTGAAAGGGAAGAGAAATTTCCTGGTCTCTGAGCCGTATCACAGATATTCTTCCCCTTTATGAATTGTTGGGTAGTTGGTGATCTGTAATACAGATTGGGGCAGAAGTGGGAAATCGTCTCCACTTTCAGAAATCCTCCATATCCCTGGAAACTTGGAAAGCTCAATAACCTTCCACAAAAAAAACATAGAAAACATATAATAAATACCAACTCCCCAAAGCATTCTTTGACGAGATTGGAAGGCAGCCCGACACCATTTTGCAGGTTTTGTCTGTGCTTTTAACAATAAGAAACACTGTCAGGGGTGGGATTCTACCAATTCCGACCGATTCGAGCAAACCGGTAATTCC